ACCAGCAGATCAATGATAGATATCATACAGAATTTTTTTATTTAACAGAATTTTGCACACCAACCAAATCCAAAATATCATTGAAATTTTACAAAAATATCATTGAATTTTCACCCCAAAATCCATTGACATTTCACAAAATACCACTGAAATTTTGGTACATTTTGTTTAAATCTTTCACTGAAATTCAGTAAAATCTCAATTCATATCAAAATTTCATTGAAAATGTGAAATATGATGCAATATGACTTGGTGGTTTTGTCCTATAATGCTAGAGACAGCCAGCTATGACTTGGTGCATTTGTCCTATAATATTGGTCTCAGCAAGTTTTGACTTGGTGGTTTTGTCCTATAAAGCTGGAGACAGCAAGCTTGCACTTGATTTTGTCCCATAATGCTGGAGACAGATGGAATGATCCCTCTGTGGCTAAAGAAGTAATATAAGTAAAATTAGATTAGAATTTCTCATCCTTTATGTTTTCTATTTTTTAGTCTACGTTTTGATCTCAGAAATTTTCTACTAAAGGCCTGGCCCGAAGATACTACTTTAAACCAATCAAAGCGAGTCATGTAAATCGTTGAATTGTGGAATATCGAAACAACCTAGAGTACAGGTTGTAACTAAGAATAATGGAAACAAATACAGCTAAACTTTGTAACAAAGAATAATGGAAACAAATACAGCTAAACTTTGTAACTAAGAATAATGGAAACAAATACAGCTAAACTTTGTAACTAAGAATGATGGAAACAAATAGAGCTAAACTTTGTAACTAAGCATGGCGGGAACAAAACAGCTAAACTTTGTAACTAAGAATGATGAAAAACATGAGTTAACATTAATTTGACGACCATTTTGAAAATATATCAAAACATGAAGGTTCAATATTTCTGGATGATACATGCATGATATGCATGTGACACGCTGTCCTGTCGAGTCTTAATGCTCTGACATCTGTAGGTACTCTGTGGTGGTCTCCTGACAGCAACAATAATACACAGCTTTATCTATTGTTGACAGCCGATATAATAAATATTGTATAAGATACGCTTGTTTATAGACTAGATGTTTCGGTCGAGGCTATGCCTATTGAGTATGTATATGTTGAGCAGCAATGACGAGTGTGGCGCCGGGCAGAGTATGCTTACTCTTCTTGACACTTGATATGAATTGTTTACTCGCTTTTGGTTACGTAAACTAAACCTTTTCATACATGCTTCATGAACATTTTACTTTTAAACTTTGATTCCAAGCAAATGTACTAAAATAAAATAAAATAAAGGCATTTCCAATTGGAGGTGAAAGAAATAAGGGTGCGTGGAGGGGGGTGGGATGTTATTTAGAGAAAAATGATAATGTTCAAAAGAATGTGCTTAGACTTAGTCTTTAATGGAATTTCAGGAGGACAGAAGAGGTAGGTGAAATTCTCAGATTTTCTAAATGGAAAAGTGCTGTCCACAGGGGATGTGCCAACTTCTTAAGCAGTCAACAAGGATGAGCACATTGACGAGCAACGACTTGATAATCTGCCATACATATCCCTTCTACTTTTCTTTGTTTTCAACTTCATTTGAATTTTCTAAAGTTGACAAAATAACATTGTAATAGAAATACCGAAATAGTTTTCTTCGTAAAAATTCATGTTCACACGACTGATCAAGATTGAGAGGGAAAATAGCTCATGTGAAGCGGCCTTTAGAATTCTGTCGACGAAAAGATTGGCGAAAGCAGAATATTGATTGACAAGTGTCAAGTTAGCATCTGTTCAGTAGGAAACTTAGAATTTAGTTACCAAAATTATTCTTTACATTTTACGCGCTACGTTTATTATCCAAATCAATCATTTTATGAGCAACTTTTTTGTGTGTAGTTCAATTTTCTCGCTGAAACGTTTGTTCAGACGGTGTCGACCCAAAGTAGTTCCCTTGTTTAAAGCTGTCATGAGCCATATACCTCCAGTGTATTACCAGCCTATGAAATTTAGTTTCCCAGTAAGAAACCAAACCCGTTATTTGTATTATTGAAAGACTTTAAACCAATCAAAGCGAGTCATGTAAATCGTTGAATTGTGGAATATCGAAACAACCTAGAGTACAGGTTGTAACTAAGAATAATGGACACAAAAACAGCTAAACTTTGTAACTAAGCATGATGGAAACAAATACAGCTAAACTTTGTAACTAAGCATGATGGAAACAAATACAGCTAAACTTTGTAACTAAGCATGATGGAAACAAATACAGCTAAACTTGGTAACTAAGCATGATGGAAACAAATACAGCTAAACTTTGTAACTAAGCATGATGGAAACAAATACAGCTAAACTTTGTAACTAAGCATGATGGAAACAAATACAGCTAAACTTTGTAACTAAGCATGATGGAAACAAATACAGCTAAACTTTGTAACTAAGCATGATGGAAACAAATACAGCTAAACTTTGTAACTAAGCATGATGGAAACAAATACAGCTAAACTTTGTAACTAAGCATGATGGAAACAAATACAGCTAAACTTTGTAACTAAGCATGATGGAAACAAATACAGCTAAACTTTGTAACTAAGCATGATGGAAACAAATACAGCTAAACTTTG